CCCCCCCCCTCCCCCTGCCCACACTGTTCATCCTCTGCATGTGCCCCCTGATGTCTGCTCGCAGGAGGAGAACAAGAAAATCTTCCGCTGTAACCGCTGCGACAACACGTACACCTTCCGTGGTGCGATGTTTCGAATGACCCAGACTGGCGGGAATTACGTCTGCCCCGAGGACGAGGTATACATTCGCTGGACAATCTCCTGATTGCTCGCCCCTGCTCATGTCCCCAGATACCTGGTGATCTGTTCGCTGGCTCCGCTCCATCTCTCTCTTACACACACATGTACACACCCTCTTCAGACGGTCCTGGATTCCATCGTGCGCAATGACCCGCAGCCCAACTCCGAGCGCATGCTCTCCCAGCTGAAGCCGCTCCTAAATCTGCTGGAAGAGGTCCAGAAGATGAACAGGTTCGTACGCTGACCACCCTTCGCCCTGCCGCGGCTGGCCATGCTGACCATCCCTCTCTCTCCTGCCCTCGTCTGCGCCTCACAGTTGGGATCTCGACGGCCGGCTGCCGCCCACGATACCGAATGCTCCCTCTGGTATGTGGCTCCTGCCCCCTCCTGGGTGTCAAGCTGCCCGCCTGCATCTTTCTGACCATGCCCTGACCCTTTGCGTCCCATCGCGGCCCGCCCCCCCCCCACCCACCCGCAGGACGCTACTCGCGTGGCGGTGGCTTCAGCGGCATCGGCCTCTCGGGATCCAGCGACTTCTCGGTGCGCGTGGCCACCATGGAAGAGCTGCTGGCGAAGCAGGCCAGCGGCAAAAAGCGCATCCACCTGGGCATTCCGGAGTACCTCATGCCGAACCTGTCAATTCGCCTCGGAGCACCGAGCCGGACGGACGCCGGGCGTGACGGAGCCGACGGGTCCGGGGCCGACTCGGAGCGCGATCTGTCCGAGCTGCTGACCCGAGCGATGAGCACCGATGTGCGCCTTGCTCGGGCCCGGCTGCTGGGCCTGGATCCCACCCCGGCGGCTCCGTACGACTCGTATACCGGCTTCATTGCTGATACCACCACGGATCTGACATTCTTCGGGTCAGGTGGCTCGGAAGACAGCAAAACCTGAAAGGCGGCCCCGTTGCCCCAGGGTGCGCATGCGTGTGTAGGCATGCCCGTGGGGGGGGGGG